GGGGGGGGGGGGGGGGGGTTCCAGCTGTGACGTTTCTCTGCAAAACATCATGGACAAATTCGATAGTTTTTTCGAAAGCCTTTAACATTTCGGGATTATCTTTGCAGAATATTTTTAAATAAACTTGATACAAGCACCAGTCTATATACATTCGTAATACCATAGCTGTTCTATACATAGTATTACGCCTTCCTTGCATTGAAAACACTCAAATTTCAAGAAAAACGCGCTAAAATTGTCAATATCTCACGTAAAAAAATGTTTTGAGAAACATTGGAAATTTCGAAGTTCATCCCCGAATCGACGGCGCGAAGCGCCGTGCGAGGGTACTAATTTCCCCCGGCTATTTACACCCGGGGAAACGAAAGCATTAGTGAAGTCTAAAGTCATCAACCTCGTTCCCAGGGCTTTTCCCTTTTTGTCATTGGGAAGGCGGGAAAAGGCCCTGGCACCGGCCGGTCTTCTATGTATTCTGATTGGTCAATGACAAGTACATTATTATGCAAATAATACAATCTTGGATTAATTTATTCAAACTTTGGGATAAATTAACATTTTCACGCAAGGAGTGCCATTATTTATTCTTTGTCCGTCTAAGAAATATTTTTGGCAAAATCTGTGGCAAAATGGTTAAATTCGATAAGATTTATACACAATTTGTCGAAGGTTAGTATTATTGTTTGTTTTAAACTGGGAGAGAAGATTAATTGTGTACTAGAACACTCCTCTGAGGCTCTGACCGAGTATTTAGGGCAAAATATGATAACGTTAATGTTTATATTTATAAAACTAAAGTCTGGGTTTATAAACCGAAACATGACCTTAAAAGTTTTCGATATTCTTCATAGTCGAGTTTAAATTGACCTAATTTATAGTTAGTTACCACTAGAAATGCGACGATATTTTGTTATATCATATATGCAACAGTGTTTACAACTTTTGAATAATATGTGATTTCGTTTTGTTTCAGATACTATTACATGTTGCTTCATTTTACCATAACTTGTGTTAAAAAAGTGATTTGCTCATTTGGCTGATGTTACAGTTTTCTGATGTGTTTTGTTTGGATGATATTAGAACAATTTCAATATGAAAGTGCAGGTGTCTTGAGACATGATCCATAATGTATATATCAAAATACTGATAAAATCCGTTTTCAGCTTGATTGTATTTGCATTGTTGCAGACAAAGTTGTGCAATGGTGGGCTTATGTCACATATTCGTATGTAATTCCATGTGCATGCTTCAATGCTTGTACTTCGATGCCTCAAGAGATGCTTAAAATGTGTAATAAAGGGCTGTTCGCAGGAGTTGGGCTGTCTGGTCTTAAATTGCATTGTTTTTATGATATTTTAAGATTGTATTCATATGGCTGGACCATCTTGCCATTGCCTGTCTGATGTTCAAACAGGCTTTAAAGTCAGGTTACAATGCATGCTTGAAAATATGCAACAATTTCACTAATAATATTCCAGAAAATCCTGCCTCTTGGACATATCTGGACTGATATGAGGGGGTTGGAGTTTTTCTACTTGTGATCGGTCAAGGGGAGCTAGCCAAGGGTGCTGGGTCAGAGTCAAACTCATGTGAACAGCTTCTAAGTCCTAATTATATTGATAAATTATGTACACTTTGGGATGGTAATGCAATTTGTAAAATATTCCACATTATATCTAATAAAATTTAATTATATACATTGTTTTTGTTGTTTATATTAATGCCTTGGACAGTATACTGTATATTTACACCTTCGGACCCTGTAAATAAACACCTTTGGAGGGTGTACCATTCTAAGCCAAAGACGTTTAAGAACAATTATCAAGGTATTTGCATGATAAAATATATTTAAAACTGCTCTCCATATACATGTAATGCATGGTTCAATTCTTGCTTTTACCAAGTAAACCCAGGGATTTTCAATGTCCCCCTCCTCCCAGAGAATTCACTTGAAGTGACTGGGGCAAGGTAGCTATAAGTATAAATAGGTATATAAAAGTCAATTAAAATTTACAAATAGAGCTTTTTGAATATAGACCATTGCAAATTTTTTTAAATTTGTTTTACCCTTTATAGTGGCAATGTGCCCTACTTTAGTATATTACTCCTCTGGTGCCAGACAATTTTACTCAAGGGCAGAATGTATACTTGCCACAAGTCGACCTCAAACGAAACGTCGGCTCACATTCGCTGCTTGCGTTTCGTTCGAGGTCGACTTGTGGCAAGTCTAGGCAGAATGTTGCCACTCAACGAGTTAATATATTCTCAGAACAGTTACCATCAAATTAAATCTATTTTGCTGGCAAAATTGCCTTGGAGGGGGTCCTTGATTTGTTGAGTCTTTTTTTTTTTGGGGGGGGGTGAGTGTTGTAAAAACAGAATAGCAACTGGTTTCAGAATAGGAAGAATTGTTGTAATATAGGTAATATAATTCTAAGACAAATCATCCAAAGGAAGCAATCATTCTAGCTCTTGTAGTGTATGTTGCAACAGGGATGAATTTACTGGGGGGGGGGGCTGTGCACTCCCCTAGCCCTGGCCAGGGTGGGTGCAGGGGGGTTCTATTTTTCATGATAAAGCAAAAAATTATTACAGGCAAAATGAGATACAGTAATTTGAGTAATAACATGATGATAAGCGAGCTGTGAACAACAATTAGAATTCAAATACAGTAGTAAAGCAAGACTTTGCAGTAGTGAAGCAAGTTGATGGGCGGGCGGCACACATGACCAACACAACTCGGCACCAGAGCTGGCAGAGCACGCCCCACCCCACCCCACCCTACCAGATCATGCTGGATCCATCCATGTGTTGCAAAATGTATTTTCTTTATAGTCAGGCATTCACATGAATGAAGATTAGAATTTCATCATGTTATATAGTCTTAAATATTTTATAGGAGGGGTCTCCATTATTAAATTAAGAGATTAAAAAGGGGTCCCATGACATTTTGACATAAGAATCTCCCACCCCACCCTAGGGTATAATGAATGGTCACTTAAAGTACATGCCATCTTCTAACTGGTTGGGCACCTTGCCCCTTTTGTGATGGAAAATCTATTCCCTACCTTTATCCCCTAGGACAAAATATTCAAATCAACTCTCCACCCTGATGTGCAGATGGTAACGGCAAGAATTGAAGCAAGCAAGCTTTACTGGAGTACATACTATTATTAGGAAGCATCAATTCGCACATGCTAATTTGCCAGTCATGATTTTAAACGTAATATTTCTTATCTCGTATAGAATTCTTAAGGTCTTGTTTACATTTTACTGGAAGCAAACTAAGATGCATATCCAATATTTGGGTCATATCACTCATATGTCAGGTTTGCAGTTTGCCCGCTTCAACAACATTTGGCTGCAAGGAAAACATAAACAAGGAAAGAGCATATAACACTTCATCTGTGTTTAAAATATCAATGAATAAATATTCCAACCATTGGCACTTTATAATATAAGTGACATTCAACAATAGATCAATAACATATACAGTATATGCA